CCAGGAATATTCTGCATTTCCTGGGGTGTTCTCTCCTCCAGGAGCCTCAGGGACCATAACCCAGCCCTAGCCAGGGGCTGCTGGCTCTGTGTCTGTCCAGGGCACCAGGGAGAGGAGAACAGGAAAACAGAGATAGCAGCTCCAGGACCTGGGACTCCTGCAGCACTTCAACCACACAGACGGAAATCCTGAGCTCCTGCTTGGGGTTAAACCATTGGCAGTGACACCCTAAAAACCCTTTAATGTGGCTGGGTCTGACTGGTCAGAGCCTCCCTTCCCGCTGGGGAGGCCAATGAATGCAGGAGGCAATGCAGGAAATCTCACTGAGAACTTCACCCAGGAGCTGTGCTTAACATTTTTGTTCAGTTCCACAGAAATTAGAATTGGAACCCTACAGACACTCAAAGGTTTTCACAAGGGTTTTTATACACTTTTCAGCAGTGTTGTTATATAACCTGATAAAAACCAAGGCCAGGATCACTTCTGCAGTGAAGGTCATCAGCCTGCCAAAAATTCCACTGAGTATTTCACTTCTGGATTTCAGAGAACACCTAATTTCTCCTCAATTAAAATGTGGAACTCCAGTACTCCACAAAAATGGATTTTCTTGAGTAGCCTGTGCTTTGAGGCTCTCCAGACCTCGTGGCTCCAGCCTGGAGGTCTGAGCTGCCATGAGGTGAAGCTGCTCTTCAGTTCAGGCTTGACTCAGGACAATTCTAGTGGCAGATCCCTGAATTCCAGGCTGTTCTCAGGGATACAGTCCAGGCTGGGCGAAATGAAGAACTTCAGCATCTGAACATGAAGATAATGAAGGGATGGGTGAAGTGAAAGTGCATCAATGAGAAATTCCTGCTATCAGAATCCTCCTCTAAACAAAAATGATAAAAAATGAAACAAAAGCTGCAATCCACAGTGTCCCTGTGAGAGCCCCAAACCATGGCAGACCCAGGCACATTCCCTGGGAGCCTCAAAGCCTGGTTTCCCCCACAATCCCACAGTGTGAAACTCCAACAAATGTTGCATTAAATTCCTCATAACTCCCAAATCCACATATGTAGAGTTGCTATGGCAACTGTCAGCCCAAGCCTTCCCAGGGGAGAAAATAAAAGTGTGTCCTACCTGGCTAATTGGTATTTGTGTTACAGAGAATTGAAGGGTAACTTAGTTCCACCAAAAAATAGAGCAGAGACTGAAGTGCTCCTGTGCTAATGTGACATTATTTAATCTGAACAAGGACCCATTTTGCATGTGCCTTCAAATTACAGTATTTATGGAACACTCAACACAATAAGTAAAAGTGTTGCTGCCAAATATGCCTGACTTGCCCTGCTCACTGATTTGAATAAAAGGGGCACTGAAAAAAAAATAGAGAAGCAAGAAGGAAGGTGGAAGAGCTGATGGGATTAGGGACTCCAAATTTCATTACAAAAGCTACAAACCCCAACAGTTTACAACTGAAAGTTATGCAAAAATAAGCTGGTGGAAGGCGACAGCTCTTTTCCCTATTTCAACTTTTCCCTGTTTCTCATCACTGCAGGAAGAATAAAGCTCCCAAGCAGGACAACCACACCGGCTGAACAATAGTCACCCCTCACTCAGAGGCACAATTAGAGCTTTTTAACCTGAAAAAAGCTCTGAAGATCATTCAAGAGAAGGATCCCACTGGCAGGATGCATTTCAGGAAGGAGCACATTGACAGCTCTCACTGGCTGGTAAACACATCCAGCAGTGTATTTGTTTAATCTTAGCACAATTACTAAATAAAAGCAGTCAGAGCTCTGAGGCAGCAGAACCTCTATGGAACATGCAAACATAACAATGACATCTCTGTCTCCATCAGCCCAATGACACAGTCTGAGGAAATGAGATTTTGGGGGAACATTCAGCTTCTCTGGGCACCCTGGGCCTCCCCACCCTCACAGCGGGGATTCCTTCCAGATATCCAGTCTGAATCTCCCTCCTTCAGCTGAAAGCCACAGTGGCTTTGCATCAGGCACACACCAAAGGAAGGACCTTTGTGAGCAGGGCCAGCACCAGCCCTGCCCCAGGGCTGTCCTGCTCCTCCAAGCGGCCCCAGCATTTCCAGGAGACAGGAGAACAGCCCCCAGAGCTGCACAGGGCCGGGCAGGGAGCAGGAGCTCTGAGGGCCATGGAACCCAGGGGAAGGACGAGCACACCCCACAGCCCTGGGATCCACGGGCTGCACCCCACAAAGGCCATAAACCACAGCTGAGCCATCAACCCCAGCTGAGCCATAAACCACAGCTAGCCATAAACCCCAGCTGAGCCATAAACCACAGCCAGGCACGCGTTCTCTCCATTCCTGATGTGGGCAAACAAACAGCTGGGTGAACTCAAGCTGTTAAAAGGTCTGAAATCTGCTTTGCCACGTGTCACCTCTCCCGCTCCTCATGGCTCATCTCCATCCTGGAGAACCTCGGAATTCTGGCCTTCCTCACACCACCCCCCTCCCTCCACCTGCTGCAACAGCTCCTGCTGAATTATTCACCTTTTATGAATTACCTGCAGCACATTGCTAGGGGTTTGGTTTTTTCTTGTTGGAGGTGTTATTCTCTACCCTGAACAAGGCAGGTGTTTACAATATGCCTTCCACCGAACAACATTATGCTTGTGTTTATCGATAAAATAAAATAAATCCATCCACTGAAGCCCCCAGTGTTATATATAACCCCATTCTTCAGGTTTAGAGATCGTGCTGCATGAGATTTTTCAGCAGGTGCAATTTCCATTCAGCACGTGTGTGGCTAAGCTAAGACACGATATTTTCCAGAGGAAATATCTGACAGGAAATCAGTGGCAAGCACCAAAAAGCACAGTCCCTGCACCCCCAGCCAAAAGGAGTGCCAGGAGAGGAGGAAAAGCAGCAAAGCTCCTGCAGCACAGCTCTGGGCAGGGCAGGAGGGGGAAAACCCCGGGAGGAGCTGCACTGACACAGGGACAGGGACACAGGGACATGGGGACAGGGACACAGGGACAGCATCTGGGGCCCTCCACACACAGCCCCTAGGAGAAGCACTGGCACAGGGACAGGGACACAGGGACAGGGACATGGGGACAGGGACACAGGGACAGCATACCTGGGGCCCTCCACACAGCCCCTGCACAGGGGTCCCACTGGGGGCTTTGCTGGACAAGACACAGCAGCTTCCAGCCCAAGGAATGGGGATGAGCCCCACCAGCAGCAGAGAGGAGCCCCTGCTGTCCCTGTCCCCAACGTCCCCAATGTCCCCAGGCTGGGGCACAGCACACTGAGGACTGCTTGCCCTGCCCTGTCCCACCCTCTGTGCTCTGGGTGAGATCAAGCTCATCATCACATCATCATCATCATCATCATCATCATCATCATCATCCTCATCCTCATCCTCCTCCTTTCTGCTGTCCTGCATGGGCTGTACAAGGCCCAGGCTCCCAGAGCCCAGGTTTAGCTCAGCCCCAGGAGCACATGGAAACCTCATCTTTTGCTGCTGCACAGCCCCGAGTGCTGGCGGAGCCTCTGGACCTTTTGTGGTTTAATATCAGCCGGTTAAATCTCTGCAGACAACAGCTCCAAGCACTTCACCTCGGTCCCCTGCAGCCCCAGTGGCAGGCAGGAGCTGCTCAGCCCTCCTGGTGTCAGAGCAGGTACAAACAGCCCTGCTGCACTCCCAGCTGCTCTCTCCTTATCTCACCTCAGCAGGGAGAGCAGAGGCGTTTGAAGTGTTTGTGAGCCTTGGCAGGTCTCCTTTCCAGCTGAAGTGAATTCCCCCTGGGATGCAGTGGCTCTGGAAAGCCCAGTGCAGAGGTGAGAGGAACGTGGGAACCTCTCCATAACCTCTGATCCTGAGTGATCCCCTCTCATCAAAGTCCCTCCTGGGTGATCCCCTCCTCCCCTGAGGCCAAGGCTGAGGCCAAACACCTGCAAATCCCTGCAGCCCCTGAGCTGGAGAGAACGAAGCTCTGAGCAGCCCCTGAGCAGGGAAGAGCCCTGGAGCCTCAGCAGGAGCTGTCCCAAGGCCCGGGTGTGCTCCTGCAGCTGCACCTCCACAGCTGGGGGTGACCTGTCCTGGAAGGGACAGCTCTGAAATCTGCTCACCTCTTCCAAACACAGGAACCCACCCACAGCCCTGGGCCTGCCCCAGTGCTGTGCTCCAGAACAAATGCAGAATGGAAACAGAGGAGGAAAAAGGAGCAAGAAGCCAAAGGTCCCACAAAGAGAAGAGCAGGCTCAGGCTCTGGGGACAGCAGATGGATGTGCTGCCACATCCATGCAGGGGCTGGGAGCATTTGAGGCGGGTGAGGATGCCTGGATGCAGGAGCACACCACAGGTAAGGGTGTGGCAGCAGCTCCCTCCAGGCTGGGCTCGGGTGGAGGGGTAAAACAGACTGGCAGCAGTTCAGGACAGCCCGGTATCGCCACTGCTCTCTAAATGCTGGACTTGGGGGTGTTTGCCAAATCCCTCTGAACGGACAGCTTTTCTGCAGGGACAAGTGAAAGTGAATCTGCATCGTGGAGCATCAGCTGCAGCCACAGGAGCTCAGGACAGGCCCTTTACACCGCGGTGTAAATGTGTCCTGGGGCTGTTCTGTGAGCAGAGCACTCATCAGACTCCACGCTGCCCCCAGGGCTCAGGTCCAGAGGCACAGGGGCCCACCTGAGTATTTTTTTGACGGTTCTCTTGCTTACATCTTGTATTGAAAATGATTTAGTTAGGAGATGCCTCTTTGTGGGTAATATGACAGCTAATTCCCACTTATCCTACTGTAAAGAAACAATTGAAATGGATGCAACAATAAAACTAATGGCTAACGTGATTGCTATTGATCACTTGCCAGTTTTTGAAATGGATGGCCCACGAGCTAAACGGGGAAGGAAAACAGTGCCACAGATTGCCCGTGAGTGAGGAACGAGCTGACTGGAGAGCCCAGCTGGAAATCCACGGACAGCTGACCACCAGCACGTGGCTACGACCACAGCGAATCCTGGGTGCACTCTCACCTACCTTTTCGGCTGACTGGGCAGTGCCAAAAAATATTGGAATGAAGGCAAGCCATACTATACAGGTAGTGTACATAGTGAATCCAATGGGTTTGGCTTCATTAAAATTCTCTGGGACCCCCCGAGTCTTGATGGCATACACAGTGCACGTCACCATGAGCAGAATGCTATAACCCAAGGAACAAATGATTTGTAGATCCGTAATGTCACACTTGAGAACTCCTCTGGCCTGGTCGGGGTTCATAGTTTTCTGCTCATCATAATCTATGATGATGTTGGGCGGGTCAACTGCAAACCAAATGAAGACCCCCAGCAGCTGCACGGAGATGAGGCTGGAGGTGATGGCCAGCTGCGAGGTGGGGCTGATCAGCCGCGGCGCCGTCACCGACTTCTTGCCCTGCTCGAAGATGCGGTAGATGCGGTTGGTCTTGGTCAGCAGCGCCGCGTAGCTGATGCACATGCCCAGCCCCAGGAAGATCCTGCGGAAGGAGCAGACGGCCACGTCGGGCTTGGCGATCATCAGGAAGGTGATGATGTAGCACAGGAAGATGCCGGTCAGCAGCACGTAGCTGAGCTCCCGGCCTGAGGCCCGCACGATGGGCGTGTCGTTGTAGCGGATGAAGGTGGCCATGACGAAGATGGTGGCGATGATGCCCAGCATGGCCAGGAAGACGGGAATGACGGCCCAGGGCGAGTGCCACTCCAGCTTGATGATGGGGATGGAGCGGCAGCCGGTGCGGTTCTCGTTGGGCCGCTCGTTGTAGGAGCACAGCAGGCAGGTGACCTCGTCGGCCTGGTACTGGTAGCCGTCACACAGCTCGCAGTGCCAGCAGCACGGCATGCCCTTCACCATCTTCTTCCTCTCGCCCGGCCGGCACGGCTGGCTGCACACCGAGGGGGGCACGGCACGCACACCCCCTCCCCACTGCATCTCCTCGATCTGCGGGACAGGACACAAACAGGCTCGGGGTTAGGCCTGGCTTAGGGCTGGCTTAGGGCTGGCTTAGGGCTGATTTAAGCCTGGCTTAGGGCTGGCTTAGGCCTGGCTTAGGGCTGGCTGCACACTGAGGGGAGCACAGAACACATGTCTCTGCCCCACTGCATCTCCTGGATCTGTGGGACAGGGACACAAACAGGCTCGGGGTTAGGCCTGGCTTAGGGCTGGCTTAGGGCTGGATTAGGCCTGGCTGCACACTGAGGGGAGGACAGAATAACGTCCCTGCCCCACTGCATCTCCTCAGTCTGGGGAACAGGACACAAACAGGCTCGGGGTTAGGGCTGGCAGCCACAGATGTGAGCTGGGAAGGAATGGAGGGGTCTCAGGGGTGCCCCAGCACAGACCCTGAGCAGATAAAATTCCCATGGGCAGAGTTCCCTGGTGCCTGTGTGGGGCTCTGGTCCCTAACCGTGCTCACTGCCTCCATTTCTCATTTCTGTTTCTTGTTAAGTCTGGTGGAATGACATCCAAGCCCAGATAAACCACGAGAGTGAAAAGCTGTTCTTTCATGAGAATCTGTAACAACACTGCAAACCTTGAGGGAAGGCAGGACTTACACTTGCAAGGCTGCTTCCCACAAACCTTGGGGCTTCTTACCGAGGCAGAGCAGAGATCTCCCTTCCTGGAAGTGTTACTGACCAGGGGAAGATTTGAAATGAGGGGGGAATGTGTTTTCTGTAGGGCATGGGGTCAGTGAGAACAGGGGAAGGTCTGCTGTACGAGCCAGGTGAGAAATATGAAGGACACAGAAAATGGTCATCACTGAAAAACGCAATAATTAGATAATATTTCATTTCAAAGTCACATTCAGCTTTTGAAATACCACATGTGCTTCTGGGAATGCAAATGACAAATGATTATATTAAATACATGGAAAGTCTCACTTACTCTGCAGTCTGGAGAATCCTCAACTCCAAGGTAGGCAACAAAGGCTCCCAAGTACTGTGGAAAACTGGGCTCACAAATCATTTCCAACTATGCTGACTAAAGCCACTCACCAGCTTCCCAGAGCAAGGAAGGTTTAGCATTTAGAGAAACAGCCCAGACTGGAAGCCTGGGCAGGCCCTGGCACTGCCAGCACCAGTTACCAGCCCAGCAGCACCTCCAGCAGCTGCTCTGTGTGTGTGTCCTTTCCCAGCACCAAACCTGATCCCCTGGGATAGATGTGAGAGAGTGTCACTAAAAACAACACTGCAGCTGTTTTCCCTTAGGTCACTTAAATGTTGTGAGAAAGTGCTCTGGCAACTAACAGAAAAACTGGGGGTTTTATTGTAGAACCTTGAATTTCAGTCCAGGGGCAAGGGAATTTATTCTTCCCAAGCCAAGAGCACCACCAGAGGCAGCCAGATGTTGTACCCAGAGCGAGCCAGTGTCACACGCTGAGCTGCACCCTTGGCAGGTGTGTGCCCAGGGACACCAGGAGCCCCTGACTGCAGCCTGGCAATCTGGGAGGATGTTCTCCTGCTCCCATCCTGAATGCCTCCAGAAGAGGGACTGGCTCCACTCACAATATGTATTCTCATTATGTTCACTATAGAACAAACATTAACAAGAAATGCTTAGTCTGTCTCATAAGGCCTAATGTAATTGTTCATTTTAATGAATAAAGTAACTCAATATCTGTGGATAATTCAAACATTGCTGCTTTGCTTCCCTCTGCCACAAACATTTCCATAATAAGCCATTTGTTCTGAACTTAATTGTTTCGTGCAATGTTTGATTAAAATAAAAATCAGTACAAAAATAATTACATTAGTGGTAATTAACCTACTCAGGGAAGAAAATAGCCACGTTCCCTGATCCCACTTTCATAATGACGGTGCCATTAATTTCACGGACACACAGAACCCAGCGGCGAGGACTGGGCTCAGATTTATTGCCACCTCCAGACTGCAGCTCCTAACTCAGCACTTCAGACTGTATTTGTGTATATTCCACTTCCCAGACAGCAATATTTGCATGACTTAGCTCTTCAGGCTCAGCTATTAATGTCTTGTAATTAGTTTCTAAATCCAGGGATTTGCCATGATAATGGTTTTAAGCTAAGAATATGTCAATAACACATCCTCAGCAGAGTCTTCTGCAAAATATCAACTGAAATCCCTTCAAGAGATAACAGTGATGATAAGCCAGAGTGCCAGAGAGGCTGCAGAGCTGCTGCATGCCTGGCCCAGCCTGGTGCTGCACCTCACACTGGAGCTCCTTTTCATTCCCTGCCTGCAGGGAGTGCTGGGGAAGCCTTGCCCAGCACTGAGCCTGCCAGGGGTGGGGAAAAAACCAGTTCTGGCTCGTGCCAAACAAATCCTGCACTGAGCAGAGCAGCCTTAACACCTCTGCAGGATAACACAGAATTCCCAGAGCCTCCAAAGCCCCTCTTGAAACAGGAGGATTGTTCCTACAGCAGCAGCATCACGGTGAGCTCTGGGATGGGCCATGTCCCTGTCCCTGCTGTGGGAACTGACACTGCTCCATCCCATTATCCCCTGCCATTATCCCACCATCCCATCCCCTCCAAGGGGTCCCCCCCACGGTCCCAGCCCAGCCCCGGGTGCTCCCTGCTCCTCCCAGAGCTGCCCTCAGCCCTGCTCTGCCAGCCCAGAGGAGGCAGAGCTCTCTCCCACCCGCCCTTTGGTGCTCCCACAAGTACAATTCTTAACCCTCCTTTACTTCCCTTTCATTTCTACTCTTCCTTTGTCTTTTGTTGAGTATTTGTCACCTTTTTTGGCAGCCCTACTGCTCTGCCCCAGCAGCACTGAGAGTTCTCTGAGCACTCCGAGCCCCGTCTTTAATGAGATCCGAGGGCCATTTGTTCTACAATAAAGCAAGGACATTTCCAGCACACCACTGATGTAGAGAAAAATGCTTAATCCACAGTTTTTGCAAAAATGCTTATTATTATACATTTCTGTTGACACACAATAAAATGGAAAATTAATTATTTTAATGCTTTTATATCTGCCTACAGCTTTGTGTTGTCTTCTCCCTAATGGAAGGGGGTGGACCATGCATCTTCAGTATTCATCCTGCAGCCCCTGCATAATATCTTGCTAATTAAAAAAGAGCATGTGCCTCCAAATGTGCATTTATAATGCACAGTTCTTGTTTCTTTAAACTGATCGGTTAGGGCAAATCTATCTTCTGAAAGCAGAGCTAATCCAAGGCAACTTTTTATCCTAAAGTGCCTTAGAATGAGGGAAAATCTGAATCACCACAGAATCCCAAAGTTGTTTGGACATCAGAGCCCACCCAGTGCCACCCTGCCATGGCAGGGACACCTCCCACTGCCCCAGCCCCAGTGCCCAGCCTGGCCTTGGCACTGCCAGGGGCAGCCCCAGCAGGGATTTTTCTGTGGGTGACAGGACAGCCCCAGGCAGGGCACAGAGCCCAGCTCAGCACAGAGCAGCTCAGCAGCTGCAGTCAGACACTTGTTCCTAAGTGCTCCCAGTGCCCACAGCTGGGGAGTCCAAGCCCTGGAGAACAAGCCTGGATGACAATGTTCCATCCAGAAGCAGATCCAGGAATTTGGTTTCTGTCCTAAGTGGGAACAAGCCTGGATGAGTCCTGGGGAGTCCAAGCCCTAGAGAACAAGCCTGGATGACAATGTTCCATCCAGAAGCAGATCCAGGAATTTGGTTTCTCTCCTGAAAACTCCTTTTCAGAGCTGGTTTTCATGGCACAGCCATGAGCTGACCTTACCTAAGGTTTGAGGAAAGGATTAGCCCTCTATCTTTGTTTATCTCTCTTATGAGCCAATAACTTCTTATTTTCTCTGTTATTTGTGATTGTGGAAAAGTTCTGCTCCTGCCAAAGCCAACACACAGCTCCCAGTGTGGAAAGGGCAGTGAGGAGAGGGAAGCAAGCTCGTGTTTGTCATTTGGAGAGCATTCCTCTTGGAGTTCCTGCCAGCCCAGCAAAGCTGGCATTTATTTGTCCTCCTAATTCCCCAGCTGGTTCAAGGACCAGCATTTTCCAGTCACTTTATTTGGGGCTGGTTTTCCCCTCCTGAAGCCTCATCATCAATGGACAGTGATTTCCTCATCACATCTCATGTGCAAGGCAGAACAACACAGGGCAGTGAAGGAGGATGAAAGAAATACAAAATACTGAGGGAAATTCAGTACCCAGCTCATTTAGGCCCTAATTAGATGCAGCAGTGATATTAATAATACTAATAATATTAAATTATCCTGCTCAGGTTGTGCTCAGTCAATTGGGCCCTAAAAGAACTGCAGATGAACACAGAAAATTAAGAATGGCTGGTGGCAATGCACACTGCCAGGGCAGCAGCTGCCTCCCAGGGCAGGGAATTCTCTCCCCACACACAGGGCTGCAATCCCTCTGCAAAAACCCTGAGGGGGCAGGTGAGGGGCCCCCCGAGCTCCCAGCCTGGGCTGAGGGAGGAGAAAAGCCTGTCCCACCCTTCCAGCTGCATCTTGGGGAGGAAAAGGCCAAAAGCTGCTCTTGCAAGGGGAGCTGAAGGCTGTACAGCCCTTCCCCAGTCAGTCAGACACAGGCACTGCTAAAGCAGAAAGAAATCCCTGAAATTCCCATTAGCACTGGGGAGCAGCTGCTGCTCAGGCAGCCCCAGAGCCCCTGGCCAGGTAAAGGTGGGATTAACCCCCCAGAGCCCCTGGCCAGGTAAAGGTGGGATTAACCAGCAAACAAGGATCTCCCATGGGAATCACCCCAGCAGCATCTGCACACAATGTACATCTTCAGTTTAGTGGGAGAAAACCAAATAGAACAGGAAAACAAAGCAAATAAAGGCTTCCCCTCAAGTTGTGCCAGAGCAGACTGAGGACCCTTTGCTGCTGTTTTTAGGGGCCGTTGTTGTCCATCATGTGAACAATTAGCTGAGGACACCTTGAATTCCACATTCTACCTCTGATTTTACAGTCCTGCTGCCAGCCACAGCAGGTCTTTCAGCAATCAGTATCAAGGGC